AGGTCACCCCGGTCATCAGAAGGCAGTGTTATTCTAGGGAAGGTTAGTGACAGGCAGAGCACGACTGGCTGCTGCCCGAGTATCACCCTCCCAGTTTCACTTTTAACCTTTCAGTCAATTTTATCACTGCATTCTTTAAACAATTCGACAAATCGGTATCACCTGGACACCTTTTTGAATCCAGATTGCTCTGTAAAATGTAAAAAGATTATACAAACTGGACAGCAAAATGCTACAAGTGGGAAAAAGCCATTCAGCCAGTCTAGCAGCATGTGGATTAACTTATTCATACTCTGAACAATCACTGTACAAAGGGAGCATGCATCCTGCTCAACATCACTGACTAAAACAGAACCTGCAGTACTACCATACACAACTGACCAGGCAAAACATCTCAGAAAAACAATCAAATTAGTAATTTTGTCTTAAGATGCAAGTTAACGTTGTTATACAATTTTTGCATAAAGCACCATGAATAAAAAAAAATTGTGAATGTGCCAGTTAAAAAAAATAAATAAAAGCAGAGATATCAAAAATCGATGTCTAGTCACAAGACCCTGGGGTAAACTAATCATGATACTTTTAAAATTGTACCTAGTTGCTTGTGTGCAAACAGCAATAGTGACCACGGGCAGGGTTTCCTGCAGCAAAAAGCTTTAACAAGGTGGTAAACTATACCACCTCCCCACTTGCTACATTTACTAGCTTGCAAACTTACTAGATATATTACTGTAATACTGTTTAATTATCCAGAATAAGATGTTATTTGACCACAACAACTAGTAAGATTAAATAGGATTCTAAGATGTAGGCTACAAACCATACTGCCTGAGGAAGAGCTTTGTACTTAACGCGTTACAGTTCGTCAATTTCCGTCTGCATCAATCCAACATTGTGTTTTTACACATTGTGTTTGTGCCGTTTATTCTTTTTGCCTCAATGAGTGCAAGATTATGTACCATTATAACTGCTGGTCTTGCAATGTAGTACTATGAAAACAGTACTTCAATATGGAGTCTTTTGTATTTTGTCAGATGGCACTAATTTTGGTCCAGAAGGCCTGACTGGCCTGTTTACCACTGCGCAAAACCAAGACTGTTCATCTCTTTAACTTGGAGACTACCATCTCACTCAAATCGGTCTTAAGTACTAATTTTCCATTTTTCCACAGTTTATTAAAGAAAGTCAGATCCTTTGGCATGAGTATACATTTCAAATCACTTTTTTTGTTTTGTCCTATGTACCTCAAACACTATGAAAAATTGAAATGTTTTTAAAACCTGAGGGAAATGGACATTTCAATACTAACAGCACTGTGTCGACACTGTTGTTGAATGTGTCTGCTTACCTCCTACCAATCCCTATACTAGCTGTAACCTCTATTACAGCTTCGTGAAGGCCACATAAATGTCATTTCAAGCAACTAGGCTCAGCATCTCAGACTTAAGAAACAAAGAATTTCTTGCAGAAAATGTCACTTTTTTAGAGAACTGCAGGAGCAGGATAATCCTCATGAAGTTGCAATTTTAACTTTACCTTTTGAATTCTAGTCCTTTTCTCTCCGGAGTTTCCAAGGATGTCCGCGTTCTGGCTGGGGAACACTCCCAGGACACCTCTGTGTGTGAAAAGAGCAATTTTAAAACTGCAGAGATACACTAAGAGAATAATTAGGCTTGAACAGCATAGCACTATTGACGATTTCAGGTTGCTGGTTTGATAATAATAAAATAGTCAGGAATAATTTAACTTTAAAAATAATTCAACAGAACTCAATTTGAAAATTCAAATCAGACCTAAACCAATTTGTTGCTTTCTTATTACATGAGCCTGCAGCATTACCCTTCACATTTTTAGTAGTTCAAGAACTTGGCTGCATGAGATAGATACTATAATTTGAGTACATACAGGACTCAAATTACAGCTGAAACCGAACTAGTAAGGTAGGCATTTCAAAGAAATGACAATCAGCCTTGTGACAGACTTGATTTAGTAAAAAAATACTTACACTGCATACAATTTAACCAAGCCAGCATTGTGTGACAAATGATTAATTTAGTAAAAAATACATAAATAATGAATTTGAAGTTTCTTTGAGATTCATACACAAACTAAAGTGCATTTCAGCCATATAGCAATTGCACGTGGGAAATTTAAATGATAAACCTCTTTGGGATTATACTCCTAAAAGAACATCAGCCCTCCAATAGCAGTTCCTTACCTGAAAGCTTTGCTGGATACTGAGAGAAGACGCTGGATTTGCAGATGGACTCAGAAGCCGGCTCAAACGACAAGGGCTCCATGGGAGAAAGCAAATCAAGTGCCTTGAAAAGAAAGCGGCTGTCATTATGCTAACCAGTACCCTTCTAGCCTCCAGCCTTCTCTTGGGAAGTACTATGTTTAGACAACCAGCAGGTAAAACCTAGGGTCTCACTCTAGAGCTAGAAAAAACCCCAATATAAACTAATTCCATCAAAATATCTTTTATGAGAAATAAAGCCCCTACAACACTTTTTCTCCAAATCAAAATTACTGTAGTATTTGATCTATATGGGGCTTTGGCGCCCATTTCTGTATGGTTTTTAACTTAAGTATTCAACCATTGAGTCTCATTAAAACTTTACGTACTAGAAGTTAGGCATTGGGAGAAAAAGGCACATGAAGTAGTTTTGGACTAATGTCCAAAATATAACATGCACCTCATACTAAAACAATTTTCATGCACCCAAAGGATAAACGCAAAGATCATGTGAAAGACTGACCTTGATGTTACTAACATTTCAACTTATGATTATATTCAAAATGAATACTGTGTAAATGAATGAAAACCCAGCATTTTAGATGTTAAAAACCTTCATTCTTAACCATAAATACTCACTGGATCCTCACTGACTAGCAGCATTAATGGTTTCTGCTTCAGGTAGTCTTCCCATTTTTTTTCCCAATCCGTTTCTATTTCCCGAATATTTTTTTTTAATTCAGGTAAGTCCTCCTTGGATATTTTTTTTCTGTCGACAAATTGAATGCATTGGTATAATCCAGAGACTCCACACATGCTGTAAAAGTTTCAAACTAAAAATCCAATCAAGGGTCAAGATAAGGAATGCAGAGTTTATCGCCAAATCCTACACCTCTGTTAATCGTTTTAGTCAAGGCACCACAACACCACACCTGCACACCCCGAAGCTGTGTACGAGTGTATAGGGGTTTTCTGTAATGGTATACTACTTACTAAACACACATGCTAGAGAATTATTCATGTGTCCAAAACTCTGCATCTAGACTACTAACACACTAGATCTGGGAACTATAATCACTTCTACTCTTAAGTCTCTACAATGGTTGCCTATGAAGTCATGCATTCAATATAAGATCTTGTTACTGACTTTCAGGGCTGTAAATAATCTGGCTCCGTCATACATATCTGAACTCCTTCACGTTTAAACCCCCTCCCATAGGCTCCGTTCAGTTCAGACTAGTCACTGCTGATCCACCTAGAACTAAATCTGAGACGTAAGCTGACAATGCCTTTTCTGTTGCTGCTACATTGGTTATTAAATGCCCATCCCCAGACTCTTTACGAGACATTCTTTGACTAATCGTCAAATTCAAACTCACAACTCGCCTACGTCTAACTGCTCTACATTCTATCTGTATAAAAATGCACACTTATTTTTCATTGTTTTTTATTGTATGTTTTCTGTACTTTTCTATATCACTATGTACAGGGTCCTTCAGTTTGGAAAGATACTTTATAAACAATCATTACTTTTCATCCTCAACAGCTTTACATGACTTCATCCACAACCGAAGAGTTGACAAAGTAGCAGAAAATGCGAGAAGTGAAAATGTGGCTTCAAGTATATTAAGGGGAAAATTTAGGTTGGTCAGGTTGAGACAGCAAATGTATTTAACAAGATCAGGCTACAAATTAAAAATATAATTATTAAAGTATCTTAAATATATACTTTTATTACATAATGACCAAACAGTAGATATGAAAAACCTGAAAAGCTGTGTGGCGTTTTCAGGGCCTGCAAGTAAAAATGTCTCATGCAAGTATCATGTAAATTTAAAAGCCTACCTCATACTTTTCAGAGTTTCTAGGGTCCTCTTCTGAAGTGTGACCTTCCCCTCCACTGCCTGCACATCTAGGTCCACTGTGGAATTACCTGCCAGGCGGAACTCCTCTCGAAGGAGCTTTAGAGCCACATTCAAGAGCTCCAGGAGCCTTAAGACATTTATCTGTCCTGCCTCATACACATTCCCAACACGCGACTGTCGGAAACAAAGAAAGGTCAGATGTATTTAATAACAAATAATGAAACAGGTCTGGTGCAGACAAGCCAGTGAAACACTGTAATTGACTGCAATTACAGAGACCCACCACTAGAGGCCACCAAAAGGCTACTAGTTTTACAGAATGAAAACCAGTTTAATTCAAGAGCATTAACACTGTTCTTTATACGCTTGCTTTGTAAGGACTAATGCCCAAAGGCAGGGTAAAGGTGTAAATTCAGCTTGGCGAATGTCCTGTAGAGCTGATCCCAGGTAAACAGAATACAGTCAATACATTTACGAGGATGCTATTAGGTCCATCTACCATAGCTCATCTCTGAGGTGCCAACTGATCTGAGAATCTCAGGCAACCATTCCTTGAAAGAAGTCAGGGTAAAAGTTTAAACTATGATTTGGTTGTTTTGAATTCTCAACACTTTTTTGCTTTGCTTTTAAAAGCATTTGCACCCTCTGGCTCAAGTTTGACTTTAGACTTTGAAGAGTCCATTTGGTTTACTTTGTCCACACCTTTGAGGACAAACAATATCCATCAGGTCCAACCACGGCACACAGTGTTCAAGGTATGACGGAATAATTTTACATGTCAGCATAAGTCTGGGAGTGAATGTGGCTGCTCTTCAGAGGATGGAATCCAAAATAGAAGTATCTTTCCTACATTGTGGTAAACAAAACTGCATACAATATTCTAAATGAGACCTCACTAGTGCATTAAAATGGTATAATGCACCAGCAATACGTCATTGAGAATATCAAGATGCTTTCCATTTCCTGAAATTGTTCGCCCTTCTTGCCTCCCCACAATGCCTAGAAATTGTCAAGAATAAACACCAACATTTTTTTAAAGGCAATTCAAAATCTGTTTTCCCCCATTTGTTCTAATCCTTTATGGGGTACTTTATCAAAATCAAATTTAACAATACTGTTGCTTGTTTAAAGCACTCTAGTAAAAACCTCTTCTAAATCCTACTGTCATTAAGATGTTTCCAAAATTGTTCCATAACCTCATAACAGAAGTTACTTATTTGTATACATCTGTTTCAGTTTTGTTACCATATTTATTGAATGCTGCTGCAGTAGCACTTTTAACCAACCCAGTTTAAATCAGAATTGCTCAGTTACTCAGCAGCTTACGTTAACTTTTTGTTCCCAATACTCCAGCTGTGACAACAACCAGTGGGGACGACAACAAAGGCTTCCGTTTGCGACATACGATAACGTGCTGAACTCAAGAGATGCACTCACTGCGTTCACAGAGTCTTCAACCTGTTCCAGCAAAAGTCTTGGTATTTTCAAGGAAACTTCAGCCCCATCTAAGGTGTACTGGTCAACATTTCCCTTAACCACACACTCCACCACTTTCCGTTCCTCTTCCAGGACAGAGAGAACCTTGTTGAGATCTGCCCATAGAGACTGAACCTGTAAAACAATGTCAGCAAATGCAACCATTTTAGGAATTTGAAGGTAAAAACCTTCTCTCGGCATTAAGGTCATTCGCGATATAAAATCACCTAGCTTAGATTCTTTGCACGGCTGGCTCTAGAATTTAGAATCAGATTCAACATACTCTTGCTCACGTGTTTTGGCTCCTCACTACATCAGTCAATTCCCTGTACACATCTAGTCTTCTTTCAGGTCCCAATAAGAAGTTCTGAACACTGGGAGCCATATTCTCCCTCCTGTTGCTCCAGGACTGTAGAATAACCTCCCAGCCCATGTCAAATCTTTCAGGACAGTAAGGACTTACAAATGTTTTAAAATTCACTTTTCTTTGCTTGCTTATAACTGTTTAATTCACCTTTAATATGTATATACCCACTTGTTTCATTGTGCAGTACCTTGAGATAATCTACCATGGGCTATGCTAAAAGTATTAGAGTATCAGTATGATTTTGATTAACTATGTTCATGGGTTTCAAGCAAGTTCATTAATTTTTATCTCAGCTTTATGACAGCCAAAGTACAAATCTTAAAAGATCTTAACTTTGGCTCCAGAATGTATTGACTATCAACACACTATGTCTACTAATTATAACGATCACAAGAGTGCTTACATGAATAGCCTCCACATGGAGTGCTACTTTCAAGGAAATGTTATTGCCTGGATTTGACTGAAAGCTGCCAGGATATCATCATAAAATTGGTACTGACAAGAGTTTAACAGGAACTAGCCATCTATTCACGAGCAACTGGCCATGGGATAAGTGCCAGTCAGACTGCAACTTCTCATTAAGAATCATCAAAAACAACCTGGGACAAACAAAAGGGGATAAAAAAAATGCATTTGTGCATTTTTCATACAAGCAAAATAAAAACAAACCTTTTTAATCTTCTCAGTCTGAAGAATGCTCTCATGTTCCTCTTTGTTTTGTCTAGCAATGACAACAGAAATAGAATTATAGAACAAGAAAAACATGGCAGTTTCAAAAAAGTCATTCCTGTCATATTTCCTACTCCCATTTGGATCAATATAAATTCTAAGCTTTTCTGTAGCTCCTCCAAAAACACTGAACATTTGAAATTGCAATTCTAGCAAAATTCAAACTTGTCAAACTGAAAGCATAAAGGACCAACATACTTCAGCAAGTCATCATATTTCGCATTTTCTGCTCTTAGCTCCCTTATTGATTTCACCAATGACCTGTGGAAGAAAAACAATGGGTTTCAAAAGTGACAGCTTTTAATAAAGTGCCTGCAAAGCAATAAGAAGGATATCGCCAACTAAACACTACTCTTTGCAAACTTGTGAAATTTCACATGGTTAGATACATCACCAAGCCAGATTTGCTGAGTTAAATTACGATCAGACAAACCATTTCTTTCTGCTGTTAGTAAAACCATTTCCCTGGCATGGTCAGAACTGAGGCTAAGCACAGAGGTCAAGCCAGGGCTACAGTAGGGTGAAGGCTAGGTTTATGGGTAATCCAAGTTTAGTGCTTTTATCCTTTTATTAAGTAGAATAGCTATTGCTACATTTCCATTCTTTGCATTACCACTCAGATTAACTGCACAGGCATCATACAGAGGGAGTGTAGCCCAAATGATTTGTTAAGCTAAAAAAGCAGAAGGAAAAGCAGACTTGGAAAACAGGGATCTGAATCTCAATCAGACCTATCACTCCAGTGGGTATGTTTTGAAAAGGTAAAGTTAAAAATGTACACTGAGTTTCCATTTGTTTATGGTTATAAAATCATTGGTGAACGCGATCAAGTATAATAAAGCTTTGCATAGATGATCTTTGATATGTCTTGAGACAACAAGTATAATACTCCAGTCTATTAGTGTACTCCAGTACTATTACTAGAGTTCCTTGTCACCGTTTTGATTATATTTGTTTGGATACCACTTAAGATCTTTTTCACATATACGTCTCTACCATGGGCTCCTGAAAATCACATGAGAATGTTCTTATTTTTGTCATTACACATAATACCCCCTTTTCCCAGTGATAGGATAATCCTTAAAACCTAAAGCAGCCCATCCAAATCAGCAATGTCTTTGTAAGGCCAAATAAAGTAGCATGTTCAGCACTTCAATGCAGTCTATGAACCAAAATGAACTGAAATATGTAACAAGTACACAGTTAACATTAAAAAACACAAAACACTGTTTTCGTAAGATAGGATGCACATCTGATTACATAAACTAAAAACATTTTGCTATTTTGCCAATTTCTATACATAAGTAAAATCAACACTAAACCAATGCAAAAACATCCACACTAACAAATAATTCTATCCCTCTCTTTCATGACCTTTACTCACTGTGCTCTGCTGTAGTACTCCTGGATTGTACGGTCTTGGCCTACAAGTGCACGCTGAAATCTGTTCTTCGCCAGTTGAAACCTTTTTCTTGCCGTCTCCACTGACTGAGCCTTTGATACCGCGCCTTCTGGGACCCATGAATTATCTGTTTCACAGAGAAAATAAGCTCTTCTCTTAGAAGGACAAAGCACTACTCTACATATTGGCCAACAACCAGAGCTAAACAAAACCCAATCTGAAGTGAAAGAACCTTAGAAACTAAGTTGAATCACATGCTGTTAGCATAACAATTGCAAAGAACAGAATTCAATATCCTTCTTCCACTAAATACCCTCCTACTCATACAAGCTGTTGGGAGTTTATATCGTCTTTCAATGACCAGTTAAGACCCGAGTTATGGAAAGCTAGGCAGCCTTGGAACTTTTATGCTATTACTCTGAATGTATATGCTGCTACTAATTTCTTTAGTAACTGTAGTAGATTAGAATAACAGAATAGAACAACTATGGAATCAGATGAAGGCCTAGGCGATAAGAAAAGTGTTTAGTGCACACAAAATTTAATTCACCAGCAGCACCCGCAGGCTGGGAGCTGGGAGTTTGAGAAGCACACGAATAAAACAAAATCTGGGTCAATCGTGATGGAAGAACGTGCTAATATTCACCTCTGGAAAACTTCTTCATATCCTGCAGCATGACATGTTTGGTAAAGTGCAGCATCAAGTTAATGAACTTGAAGCCCCCAGGAGAAAGGAACAAGGAAGCCACCACTTTTGGAAAGGCATTTCCACATTCCACCTAGCGAAAATCAAAGATATCATGTCAAAACATTTAGACAATTCTCCTCTTAATTAGATCCTGATTTTTTAAGGCTTTAAATTTTGAGGTACTTCGGATACTTGAGAGCAGCTGGTAACCGATGAGATGTGTATTAACTGCAAATTCAGTATTATCTTCCTCTGCCACCTCTTCTATGAGCACATCTCAGTGCTACATTCGGGGGACTGGTTGCCTAGATAAATTTTCTTTGAAAATCATTTTAGAAGCACGTCTTAAAAACTCTTATCCTCATTGCATTGCAATCTCTATAATTCTGAAAATGCCATTAATTCTTCAATGGTCCAATGAAGTATTATTGTCTTCAATGATTAAAACTGTCCAGTCTTGACTGAATGATGCATTCCCACGAAGTCACAATAATAAAAGGTAGCAAAAATTCTTTCAGGCAATTAAAATCAGCTACTTCATTTTCTTGTACTCCTGTCACCAAAGAAACCATAAGCAGCTTTATTAGGCGTGAAGAGAGAAAAAATCAAGGTAATTCAACACCTGCCACACATGATATATTGGATTCTATCTATAGAAAATAAGAAATACACTGTACTCACAGAGATATCGCGAAGCCAATCATAAGTTATTTTCCGAAACTCAGCATCAGTTTTTCGATCCAAAACTGGCCAACAAGACCTTGATGTAAAAATAAAGAGCTTAGATTTTGAAGAAACTGCTTAAAGACCTGTCTAATTAAAATAACTTTTTTTTTTACAATACACCAAGTTCAGCTTTCATAAAGCACTCATTGGTAACAGATTTTAGGGTAATCGCTTTCATCCAGAGTTCTTAGGAGTCTCACCAGCCAAACACTCACATTCACACGAGTCTGTTCCTGTTTAGCAAGCTGGACACCCACAACAATGAATGGTCTCTTCTTGTTAGCAATAACTAGAGGTTATTTAGTGCTTATGTAACACATGAAGCTTCTTAAGTATACTGTAGCAACTGGTCAAAATGACACCGAAAACATTTAATCAATATCCAAAATCCATACTTAATAAAAACATGCATCCAGATTGATAAGATTTTAATGTTCAGTTTTTAAAAAACCTTTTCATTACCTAACATCCCGCAAGTATAGCAGCTCTAAAGCTATAGCAGAGCTGTACCAAACAAAACTGAAATGAATAAAGCCTGTTATCCGTCATCTGCTTTAAAATTCAGTGCCTTTACAGTATTAAATGCATTTAATCAAGATCTCAGCTAGTTACAGAGTTTCTCAACTCATCATCTCTGAAATTCTTTTAATCATGGTGAGAAGAATTCAAAAGCATCTTTGGGGCAACCTTCATGCAAAAATCCCAAGTGTCTGCCAAAAACATTAACTTGGCTCAGAAAAGCACTAAGGTTAAAGTACAGTCAGGTTTTCAGTCCATAATTAAATTCTAAGCTAGAACATTATTAACGTTGAAGTCATTCAGGTGGGGAGCTGCAGCAGCATGCATAGACTGCAAAGGATCAAGTAATAGGTTTATTCCATGCTGAAAAGAGAAGAAAGAAAACGGAACGTTTCGGCTGTGGAGCCTTCTTCAAGTGTAAGAAATATAGGGCAATCAAAGATATTATAGCATGGGAAAACAAAAGCCAGGAGAAAGGAGGAGGTGAGAGCAGGGCAGAGGCAGAGTGGCCAATCAAGTGGTGGGAGGTTGAGAGAGGTGTGAAACAAAACCTACACATGAATAGAGAGAATCAGAAGAAAACCAGTCTGTCGTTGAGAGAAGGGGGGAAGGCGTGAACAAAGTTTCAGGATAATTTTAGTTTCTGATGTCTTTCTGCTATAGGAGAACGCAGACAGAGAGATCAGTGTGATCATGGCCATCACGCCCCTCCCCTGCTCCCACCTCTTGGCTTTTGTTCTCCCATGCTATTTTATCACCGCTGATTGCCCTGTCTTTCGTATTATTAATGTTAACTGAGAGGGTGTTTCACAGAGGAGAACCATTCAGCTGCAGAAAAGTTAAAAGTATGATGACGTACATCGAACATTTCATTTATGTTGACCAGAGTATCTTATATTGGAATAGTAGTTCTGTACAGTATATGAAAGCTTCTGAATATCCCTAAGCAAAAGACTTATTAATAGCCTTAAGCAATTGCTTAACAGCTTTAAGTAAAGATAATACATTTAAGCAAAATGGTCACTTTCAGATTGGCCAAGCACCTATAGATCACCATTCCTGCATATTTCTTCATCTTCATCGGGCAAACGGAACAATCATACTGTAGTGCCCTAAAGATTCCACTGAAAAAGTGGAAACAAAAAAAGGAGCTACAGACCATTGATCTGCAAACAGCAGAAACTGAACAGAGAACTATCTTAATCACCCTACCTGAATACTTTGTTGGTGTGCACAGGGTTAAGCTTTTCAAATAGGTAGTAGGTGACGATGTAAAAGGCATCTTTATTGGGCTTGTCAAACATATGCCTAAAGAAAAAATAAAAAAAACATTCACATTGTAGTTAAACATGATATACATATACAATGCTCAATCCACATGTATTCAATCACACTCAATATATATATATAAACTTCCCTGGCATACATAAGGCATAGTTGAGTAATTAAGTAAATGGGGGGGAAACCGAAATAATTTGTAGGAATCCAAGAATTTCAATCTTGTAATTTAAGGATCTCTAATCTTGGTCTTGAAAAGCCCCAATTCGTTAGGCTTTATGGATCAACCTAAAACAACTTCTCGAAACTGGGAGCACTTGCAGGCTATTAACCAATTAAGTAGTTTACCAAGTAAGGGAACGTGAATCTTGAAGGCTAAATGTGTTTCAAGTGATACGTAAGTGAAGCATCGTTGTCCCAGCTGGTAATCAGACTGCTCTGCGTGAGCCGACTTTTCACGGTCAATGCTATCGCGTTCCTAATAATTTAATTAATAAAAGTTAATAATTCGCAGAAGATAGGTTTCACGAACTGAAATGTTATTTTTGTACAATACCTTAATCCTCAACTCATCTCTTACTTAAGTCTCTTTGTAGTTCAAAATAAGAAACTTAACTCTCTCGTAGTTGAAGATAACCAATCTAGTTTTGCTTTCAGAACTCAGCCAAACGTACAGTACAAGAGAAAGGGAATTACAGAAACAGAGGGCGACTCTGCTGGCTTTTTTTCAGCAGATAAGCGATAACGACAAAACATTTAGGTGTACATTCGTAGAACCTTGAATAAACAACTTATTTACATGCACTTAAAATAAAAAAAGGTTACTCACTCTCCGAGACTGATGTGGCGAAGCGTCCTGCCGGTAGCAGCTACAGCGGTTTCGGGTTGAAAACCCAGAGCAAGGAGGGACCACCACAGATACTTGGCATCGTTTTTACGAGGGCTAGACATCTTCCCTCGCTTCCAAAATCTTATATATATAGATTAGGTCAGCGCTGTATATAAAGCCGCTGACTTGCTTGTACACCCTAATACCACATTTTAACGAACTAGTTAAACTAAACCACGCTAACCGTTTAATCAAAACAGCGGGGAATCATCTTTGATTTCCTCCCTCAGTCCACAAAACTTCGTCAGAAAAAGGTAACACATCACAGACTGTGGTCTTCTAATTACTGGATATAGTCTTAACTTTTTTTTGTTTTCTTCCAAGCCTTCTTCTCCAGACTGCCTCTACCCGCCAAACGCTTTCAACTCCCGCTTACGTATAAAACAAGGAGGTGAGTCCCCTAACCCGGATATACTTGTGACGTATGGCTGAACTACTTCCGCTGGCCGTCTGTTACTATATATTTGAGCAGGAAGTACTGTGAAAGTGGTGGGAATTGTAGTAGTGCTCAATGCTGGGTTTATGTCAGTTAGTCCTATTTTGGCCAGAACTGTTTTTTGGACATCTTCGTCTTCATAATCAAAATAAAATAGTATTATACTTTGAATTAATAATAATCAAAGTAGCATTTAAGACCGTTTTATTTTTTAAGTGACAAAAAATAACAAGAAAATATATGGAAAAGCTTAATACTTCACGTACAGTAGATCATATGAGAGAGAAGTTCTAAGAGAAATAAGGCAAAAAATGTAAAAGTTTACTGAAGACCCCGAGAAAATCAGGAAGGAGTTCCAAGCACGTTTTTCCAAGACCACCGGGGAAACATTCTCAAGATTGCAACTTTAATACGAATAAAAAGTATGTAGTTAGAAAATTGCTACTTTTGGTAGCACATTGTTTCATCCTTGTGGCGAAGCATTGATTTTCAAGTATGTTTGCAAATTGTTTTAATAATTAGGCTGTGAAATTGTTCTGAACATAGGCATTATGAGAAATAGAAAAGGCACCACGGCGATAACAAATAACATTGTATTTGTATTGCATTTAATAAAATTCCAGGTTGTACTTTATCAAATAATGTTTTACATCGTCTTTAAAAAGTAAACATCTTTTTTATATTTAAAAAACATTACATTTATTTTTTCACATTTATATCCTGGTAGATTAAATGTATTTTCAAATAAAAACAAAAGTTAAAAGTTACAGCTGCATGCAATGACATATGTGTAACATGTTATTATTCAACTACACACAACAGCCCTTTTTCCTATTGAAATCTACTGTATTCATCCATCCATTTTCTAATTCAGGATCATAGGAGAGTTGGAGCCTGTCCTGGCAAGCAACAGAGGCAAGGCAGGGTACATCGTGGATAGGATGCCAGACCATCACACCACAGACACTCACACCAGGGACAATTTTCATAGAAGCCAATGAACTTGGCCATATGGATGTGGGAGGAATCCTATGCAAACACAGGGAGAACATATAAACTCCACGCAGGTCTGGAATTGAACCCAGGGTCCAGCACTGCAAGGCAGCCATTTTGGCCTCCAGTGTAATTTGCTATTGGAATGAACCGTGTGCGAAATAGTGAGGCTCAGGACTGTCCTCATTCAGTTGTTCTTGCTGAATTAGAGCCAACTGAACCGAATTAGAAAGAAAAACTGTCTTGCTATGGGAGCCGTCTGATACAGTGTCATTCCCACTTGTTTCTACCATCAATTGATCACCTATTAAAAGCTATGTAGTCAGAAATAATGGGAGCAAAGGTCTGAATACAACAAGGCTGTGTCCAGGAGCCAATTGGAGCATGATCTTAGGAAAGAATGGATCATATGGAGAGTTTAGAAAAAAGATGACAAGAAAGTGTTAGCTAAGAAGTAGGGAAGGGAACACAAAATGATGTGCACAGCAAATAGGAGAAAACAAATTCAGCATTATACTGTAACGCTTACGGCCGACAAGCACTGTGTGTAAGAGCCGGCGTACCAGAGCGGGTGACGTCACC